ATATTCTCTAATAGTCCCCATCTGACAAAAACCAACCTAACCAATTCTTTGTAAAAGTTGAAGCAAACATAACCATCTATTTTAAAAAGTTTGTGATCTCTACTGCCATAACTACTGAATGACATAAATATAAAGAATTATTGAGTTGGTTAAATGCATTAGGAAAAATAACGAACTTTCACAATGAACATCTGTCATCTCCTCAGAAATTATAAGTTTAAAATTATTCCAATACACTCTGATGTACTGACGTGCAAAGAAATTCTGCTCATGATCCATTGTGCTCATAAGTAATTTGCCATAGATAATTTGGAGCCACACCCCAAATTCAAAAATCAGCAGATATATAAGATTTTTTTATTAAAAGATTGAATCATTGACAGTTTGTCATCAATGGAACTAAGTGTAGCTTATTCATGATAAGTGTGGTTATCATCACAATTATTTGGATTGGCTTTAGAAATCCTCCTCTCCAAATCTTATTTAATGCTACACGAGGTGTCAACCCTCTTCTACCTAAATTATTTCTGGTCTACATATGTAAGTAGAAAAAAGACAGTGAGATCCAAGTTCCTTCCAAAGCTTTCAGTTAAGCAGATAAGGATATATTATCATTCATGCCACATATGTAAGTATATATTTATATATTATCATTCATGCTTTCAGTTTACATGTAGCTTTATCAAATTAGGCACTATGTGGTAATCTAAGAATGTCAGTCATCAGATAAGATGCATAACCTTTGATTAGCGAATAAACCCATTGCTGCAAGTATAGTTTAAGAAACGAAAGATAAAGTTCAAGCATGAATAAAATGGCACTGAAAGCCAAGTCCTCATCACTACCGGGTTAGCAATCTGAACAGTCTAAGTCGATTTGTTCGTCCACTACATGGAAACCTAAGCAACATAAGAGGGGTTAGCAATTGTGCTGGTAATGCGCAGTCATTCTAGAGGTGATGGAGATAAATAGGGGCCGGTATGGATCATCCTATCTTGTTGCAGTACAAATTTGATATAACCAAATATGGAAAGCTTCGGCAGCCCAATCACCACTTTTTAGCTCCACCAATTAATTGTGGGGATTTGAACAATTTTCATGGTCAGGGGAGCAGTAGCTAATGAGACGAGGCTATGACCATACAACTCATTATTGTTAAAAGAAAACCATGAACTGGCTTAAGCCTAGGCAAGGTGTGATGAGACAATATCCTCTCACAAAACTACCAGGTAAGCTCCATTACCAAGGGTACTGCTTAAGTGAGCAACTTACCTTAACTTGGCATGTATCTTCACTTGATTGGTAAGATGGGTGCTACTCCTTAGACGCTAAAAGATGAGTTAACTTTTTATGATGATAATTTGATATTGGGTGATTTTGAAAGAGCATTAGGAGTTAGACAAAGAGGATGCTCACTAGAAAATAAGTAAAATCAGACATTAGTGCAGAATCTTTTTAAGTTATAGCACGCTAACTCTTCAGGATGATCCAGGGAGATAGAAGGAGATGTCAGGATATAAATCTGGTTATGAAAAAGTAGCATGGATGATGACAAAGATAAACTACATAGTAGTAAAAAATAGATTATTCATAAGCTTTGCAAGATAGCAAATTTATATCTTTGTTTTTCGTTATCATAATTGTCTATTTAGTACTTTTTTAGATAATTTATTTAGCAATATATGAAACTTGAAATACAATAAAACTTAAAAAGAGGTGATTTACATATTATTTTAATCATTATCTTATCTTCTTCAAAGTTTTCCTCATAAGTGAAATAGGCTTGTTAAATGAAACAATTTTTTTTAAATGCAAATGTTCACTTGCATTTAAAAAAATGAATCCTTTAAGAAATTGTGTTAATGCTAGGGCGTCCCCTGGAAGCGACGCGCTATATGGCCTGAATACAGTGACAAGTGTGCAAGGGCCGCTGCACCGGCGCCCAGGTGCAGTGTTAAATAGGAAAGGGTTCCCACATCAAGGACGGATGTGGGCAAAGAAGCTAGTCCATGAAACTTTAGGATATGAACTTGGAATATTGGTTCCCTTATAGGAAAAATAATGAAATTAATAGATATTATGATTCATAGGAAGTTAAATATTTTGTGCATTCAGGAAACTAAATGGGTTGGAGAGAAGGCTAAGGAAATTGATAGTTTAGGATTTAAACTTTGGTATTCGGGTAGGAGTCGTACTAGAAATGGTGTAGGTGTTATTATAGATAAGAGTTTAAAAGATAATGTTATAAAAATTAATAGGATTGGAGATAAAATTATAGTTTTAAAGATTGTTGTTGATAATAACATTGTTAATATTATAAGTGCTTATGCTCCTCAAGTAGGTTTGGATATGAGCTCTAAATTAAATTTTTGGAATGACTTAGAAGAATTAATACAAAAGATACCTCTTGAAGAAAGAATTTTTATTGGAGGAGATTTAAATGGACATGTTGGTAGAGAGGTAGATGATTTTAAAAGCAATATTCATGGTGATCATGGATTTGGAACGACGAATGTAGGTGTCAATATCATATTAGATTTTTGTTTAGCTTATAATTTTTTAATTGCTAATACCTTATTTAAGAAAAGGAATGAGCATCTCATCACTTATAAAAATGGATATAGTACAACCAAGATTGACTATTTTCTTATTAGAAAATCAAATCGTTTAGATTGCAAAGATTGTAAAGTTATTCCGAGTGAAAATTTATGTACCCAACATCGATTATTAGTTTTGGACTTTAAGATAAAGGGGCATAAAATAAAAAATAAAGTAAAACAATTTTCTAGGATTAAATGGGGGCATTTAAAGAATATTAACAAAAATATTTTTGGAGATAAGATTTTAGATCGTAAGATTTTGTCTGTGCATGAGGATGCTAATATTATGTGGGAAAAAGTGGCTAGTGATATTAAGAATATTGCAAAAGATGTCCTTGGAGTATCAAAGGGAAAAGCTCCTAATAGTAAAAATAGTTGGTGGTGGAATCCAATTGTGCAAGAAAAGATTAAAAATAAGAAGCTTTGTTATAAAAATTGGTTTAATTTTAAAAATTCCGATAATTGGGAAATATATAAAGTTGCTCGTAAGGATGCTAAGAAAGCCATATGCGATGCAAAGACATTAGCTTTTAGTGATTTATATAATAGATTAGATACTAAAGAGGGAGAAAAATATATGTATAAGTTAGCCAAACAAAGAGATAGGAGTAGTAAGGATTTAGTTCAAGTGAAGTGTATTAAAGATGAAGATCAAAAAATACTTTTCTTAGAAGATGATATTCAACAAAGATGGATGAGATATTTTGCTAAACTTTTTAATGAAGATTGTGAAAATAAGATTGACTATAGTGACCTTAGCACCCTAAATGAAAGTAAAGATTTATGTTTTTATCGGCGTATTAGTAAAACTGAAGTTAGAGAGGCTTTAAAGAAAATGAAGGGTGGAAAAGCTGTTGGACCTGATGATATCCCAATAGAGGTGTGGAAATGCTTAGGAGATGAAGGAATTTCATGGCTTACTAAACTTTTTAATACTATTTTGAAGACTAAAAAGATGCCAGATGAGTGGAGAATGAGTATGTTAATTCCTATTTTTAAGAATAAAGGTGATGCACAAGATTGTGCGAATTATAGAGGTATTAAGTTAATGTGTCATACTTTAAAACTATGGGAGCGAGTTATGGAGCATAGGTTGCGGCGTGATACTAATGTTTCTCAAAATCAATTTGGATTCATGCCGGGTAGGTCGACTATGGAAGCCATACATTTATTAAGAGGTTTGATGGAGAAATATAGAGAAAATAAGGAGGATCTACATATGATATTTATTGATTTAGAAAAAGCATATGATAAAGTTCCAAGAGAAGTGCTATGGAGAGTTCTTGAAAAGAAAGGAGTCAATAATGCTTATATTCAAATCATTAAAGATATGTATGCAGGAGCTATTACATGTGTTCAAACACAAGGTGGGTCCGATGACCCGGTTAGGAGAGTAGAAGTATTAGATTTGACTTATGTTAAGAAAGGTAGGGGTAGACCTAAAAAGACTTGGTTAGAAAATATTAGGAATGACCTTTTCTTTATTAGATTTAAACAAGAATTTGACTTTTAATAGGACACAATGGAGAAAAAGGATTCATGTAGCCGACCCCACGTAGCGGGATAAAAGCTTGATGTTGTTGTTGTTGTTGCAAATGTTCACTTGCGTGAGTGCCAAGCACCTTGGGCATTGAGTTCCATCTCTCTTTAACATCACCTAGCGCCTTTGACAATAATGATTAAATTTCCCCCTAGAGTCATAACCATTATGGACTAGGTCTAGTGAAGCCCAAGCCCAAGGTAGAAGGCTATCTAATATGGATCATTAAGGTATGGCAGGCTAGACTGAATATGTACGACCTCCTCCTGATCTATGATGCCACTGACCCAAAACTGAGTTGGTGTTCTTCTACAGATTTTATCCTTGGCTTGCTTGAGACAGTATTTTGGGAACATATCATTTGTTTCAACTCATAACTTTAACTGTCAACTGAAAAACCGAATTTCTTCATAGACAGTTTGGTTTCAGCAACAATTATTGGGTTTAGCTTAGGAAGAATCATAAAATTTCAGGCTTGTATCAACCAACACAGTTGTAATCTGGGCAGAGATCGCTCATACGATGCTTAAAATGGAAACAGCACATATCATCGAAAACAACAGAATAGACTTTTTGGTCAAAATGAGTTATGAAAAGTATTAGAGATGATTTTTTTTTATTAGATTTAGATGAGAATTTGACTCTTAATAGGACACAAGGAAGAAAAAGGATTCATAAGGCTAACCATATAGTGGGATAAAGATTTGACGTTGTTGTTGTTCAGCAAAATGAGTTATGACCTGATAATTTCAGCATATCTGCATACAGTCCCAAATCATTTGACCATTATACAATAAATATTCATGCTATCTACAAAATGAGAATGAAAGCAGGGTAAAAAGAAAGAAGAATTATCAAACCTGAAACCAATCAGCAAACAGATACGAATGCTTATTGTGCTTCAGCAGATGGTAATCCACATTCCCGTTTGATGGCTTCAATTAGCTGATGGGAAACTAACCCATCGTTGACTTCCATAGACATGTTGCTCACACCATTTTTCTTTATGCCTCCACATGCGTCTCCTTCACCCCAGCCTCTGTACAAGATTACCTTGTTGGGCTCTCTAGAGACCAAAACCGACCCTGTTGCTTGCTGTCAATGTCAATCCAAAAAAAAAAAAAGGAATTAGGCAAAAGAAAATTATAAGGCACTGAATCTGAATGCATTGCCCGACAATTTACCTCTAGCTCAAATACTAACTCTTGGACTGAAGTTCCCTTGGCTCTCCCATTAATGTTCACAATGGCAAGTGGATGCTTCCTGAAGTGCGTCTTAATTGTTCTGGCAACACCAGTCAGAATATTGTTCCTTCCTGATGACAGAACAAGACTAACTTCAATACTTCCCTAGATATTAAAGTCCAGTGAACTAGATTCAGCCCCTTGGATCAAAAACTATAAATGCATATTTACTGTGCTTTGATTTTAAAATCAGTCACAGAGCAAAAAACATCCAGCAAACAGTGAAGAGCCTACAGCTACAGTACAACATTAGTAATCATTGATGAAAGAAGCCTTGTCCCAGCACATAGATAGGGACTGTTTTCATATTTTATTTATATTAACAAGCCAAGAAAGAGTAATCCTAACCATTGTTCCTCCAGGCCAAACAAGTAAAATTCAGCCTAAAGCTTAAATTGATCTCGCCTTTGTTCTCATCTTGAATCTTCAGACCAACTAAGCTCCGGCCAAGCCAAATGTTGCAATTAAATTTTGATAACTTGTGGAAAATAAAAGAATTCAACAAAGAAGAAGAACCTAATCTAAGTTGATAAAGTGATGGGGATCTAAATACTAGATGGATCCAAGATTATTAATTCCATTTATTTTGATTTTATTTTTTAATTTTATATCAGTTTAAGGATTAAACATGTCTGTAATAATGAAACCATGAGAACGGAATATTTTCTCAAATCATTTATTTCCCGGGGTTTGGATTGGCTTATGTGATTTGGTTCAATTGGTGCCTGTTCACTGTTTTGGTAATTCATTGTTTTGATGATTTAATATTTGATTGTTCACTGATGCTAATTTTCCAAAACCAGCTAAGTGGTGCTGGAGTTATCTCATGCCAAATAATATAGCTGCAGCTTACGGCATTCTTGACGGGTTATAGCGGATATGCTATTGCGCCTATTTGGACAATTTCATTTCTCATGTATTATGCTCATCCACTATGTGTGCTTATCCACGAACGTGGTGACATTTAAAGGATCACAGGATTTGAATTACACCTTAACCATTTATAACCTACCAATTTAAGGGAAACAAAGAATTAAATATCAATAAATAGATACATGAGGTCAGTATCGAATTCAGCTATTATTCAATAAAATTCCATATTTCTTCTTTCAATCTTGTGGGCTCCTTAGATGCAGGATTCCTTCAAGAGAGTTTCCATTTTATAAGCAATCTCTCAAGGGAAAATTATCTCCTTAAATCAGAATAGAGCCTGAATCTTCTTCATTTTGATGATCTCTTCACTTTATTTATTTTATTCATAAATATTAAGTAAATGGCGTTGCAGGATTCTTAATTTTCATCAAATCTACTAAAGAAATATCAACGGTTTGTTGAATTCTTGGTTCAAATTTCTTGTAGACTTCTTCGAATTTAATTGATCATTCCATTATCATTTTTGTTCATTTACTCAAATTTTCAAGTTAGCACCTAAATAAAAAATATATAGTATTTAGAGACCTTTCATTGGTAAATTTGTATTCCTTTGTGTCATTTTCTAATTGCATTAAAAATCCTAGACATTTACATTTCCAACATTATAGTATTTAGAAAAGTTCATTATTGGAATAGTTTAACATATCATCAAAGAGATGGAATTTTGCCCACTTGGAAAAATCAATTAACTAAACTATTAAATAAAACAAATTCAAATGTATTATGACATTAACCTTGTTAAACTAGGAATAGAAAATTTAAAAAATAATCATGTTCATACACTTGAATTTGAAGTCAATTCCAATCATAATAATGAACCAATTAAATTAGAAATAAAAAATGATGAAAAACAGGGAACAATCGAGATAAATATCATTGGGTGTTTGATAATGATGTTTATTAAAATCACATGCATCAAATTTTTGACGCGAATGATTACATAAAAAATCAAAATTTAAATTTAAATATCAAATTTTAATGAAAAGATTGATCAAAGTTTTTTTTTATTGGGTAATAGATGATTTCTTAGAAGGACAAATTATATCCAAAATTAAAATTATTCGAGCAAGCTAAAATGTATTGGATGTTCCTCACTTTTCTTTAATAAAGAATTAGCAATTACAAAATCATAAGCTAAAGCAAAATCGATATTGTTATATCACATTCATCAGTCACTATAAACCCATAAATTTTCACTCAGAATGACTTCACAATCTAAACGATTTATTTTTTTATAAAAAAATAATAAATCTAAGTTTTCTTAGGTCTGTTTTTATAAGCGAATAGATGCTATCTTTTTTTTTAAACAAGGTATTAGCAATTATAAAATCAAGATGTAGAGCAAAATCTAATATTATCCTATTAGCTTCATCGGTCATTTTAAACCCATAAACTTTCACTCATAATGACTTCACAATATAAACAATTAATATTTTTATTAAAAAAAATCAATCTGAGTTTTGCTCTCAATTTTGACAAGCAAAGAGAAACTCCTCTCTTTTCTTAAATAAAGTGTTAGCAACTCCAAAATCATAAGTTAGAATAAAATCTTAACATCAATGCAATTTTTAAAGCTATAATTCTATCTTCAATTATATTAATTTTTACAACATTGTCATTCACTCTTATAATCACACCTATACCATTTCTAGTATAAATCCTACATGAATAACCATAGTTTAAATCATAAACTATTAATCTTCTTAGCATTTTCTCCTACATATTTAGTTTCATGAATACATAAAATATTTATCTTCCTATGAATCATAATATCTATTAATTTTATAGATTTTCCTATAAGAGAACCTATATTTTAAGTTTATCTTCAAATTCTAGTTTCATGAACTAGCTTCTTTGCTCACATTCATCCAGTATATGAGAACCCTTCCTTATTTAACACTGCACCCAGGCCCCAATGAGCAAGCCTTGCATACTTTTCATTGTATTTAGGCAATACCACGATTCGCTTAAATGGAATACCCTACTGAGATGAACACTTAGAGAAATTATAAGACAGTGAGCAAATATACATATAAAACAAGACAAGAGAAAATTTTCTATTTCATCATCAATAAATATAACATGTGCAGCTCGCCCTTAAGGGACAAAACAAAAAGTAAAAAAAAAATAATAAGAAAAATATATATGGGTCAGGCGACTTAATCCCCCGTCGCATTCGTATCATCACTCTTATCACAGTCAAAATCCTCTTTAAAGAAGACGATTGGGTCTTGGAACTTGGGATTGAGATCGCCCATTGAGACGAGTGTCCTTAGGAAGTACACGATCACCTTACTGTATCTCTAGCCGATAGATGTCCTAGTACGTGTTGCACTTGAAGAAAGTGTACTAGTCCCTAGTCGCCTTGACCTTCGTAAACACCTTGGTGACCTCTGCTTTAACAAACTCTTTCGCCATAGTATCGCATCCTTCTAGGACCTCTCCTTCGCCAAATTCGCCTTTAGGGCGTCTTCTCACCTGACAATCTTGATCTACAGTTCTTCAACTGTCTTCTATAGTGAGCTTAGTCAATACCTCTAAATTTTTTTGGATGGAGTTATAGGCCATCTCAAGGCGAGACACCTTCACTATAGCTCGTTGTTGATTGTGAGCAAACACATAGGTGGATGATGTAAAACACTTGAAGATTTCAAGTAAATCCTATCAATCTCGATAAAACAGCGAGAAATTTCCACAAATCCAACGAAAAATGAGAGAAAACCAGGAATTTTATTGCAAGAACACAAACTAACAGAGGAAAATAGCAAGATACAATTGATCCTCTATTCGAGAGGAGGATATATCTCCCAAATCTTTAGACGCTGCAAGAGTCCAAAAATCTAAACCTAAGAGATCTCAAATTTCAGCCAAATTCAAAATGCCCTAACCCTTGGAAAAAAACTATTTAATGCATATAATTCAAAAGAAAATCTCTAAACAGTCCCTACATTAAAAAAAAAAAATTGGGAAAAATACATTAAAATTTCACTCCTCATTAATTCTCTCAATTATTTTAAATTTTTTATCACCCAATAAAATTTTATATTAAATCTTTTTTTTTCCCAATTAATTTTAGGAGTTAAAATTTCACTCCTAAACTTCTCCCAGAACCTTCCTAATCTGCTCTTCTTGCTCTGTTCGGTTTGATCGTCATGCAGGAGGCGGACTCTTTCGCCTCTGTTGTTCGTAAGCCAGTCCAGTATGCACCGGCTGGACAAGTCCAGCGGACTAGTTTAATAGTGGACTACCAGAGTTCTCCTATATATTCATAGATGCAAAGCCAAGCTCGCTTTCAAGGATGACCTTGACGTACTCCAGCAACCTTGAGCATATGGTGAGGCCTTGATCGTAGTATCTCCACGTAGCATGGGGGTTGCCATCTTCATTCATTCGTCGTTATCATTGCATTACATGTCAAATCGATCTTTTGTTATGTGTTCAAAATCCATCATTCTCCGTTATCATTGCATTTGAACATATTGATTGTGAGATACATACAAAGATCAATAAACCATCTTTAATTACAAATTAAGGTTTACCATGAATAATAATAATCATGCATTTATTGCCACTCTAGCCTACTGAGAACAAGACAATGAGAAGAATGCCCAAGAAGACTAATTATTTTACCCTAAAAATTTGATAAAAATGACATAAAAACAAACTTAAACTTGCTTACTATACATGACCATAATTATAACTGGAAATATGTGACATGTACTGCATCAGCACACAGATGCATCATAAAACAAAAAAAAAAACCTATCATGCCTCTGATATTAGGAAATTTAAAGAATTAAAAAAAGATAAATAACTTATTTATTTCATAAGCGTCCAATATTTTATAAGAAAATGCACACGGTGCTCAGGTTTTGGAAAATCACTTTAAAGCAGAAAATAACTATGGATATTACAACAACAACATCAAGCCTTTATCCCAGCCATATGAATCATTATTCTCCAATGTGTTTGATTAATAGTTAAATTTTTATTTAAATCTAATAAAAAGATGTCATTTCTAATACTTTCTAACCAAGTCTTTTATGTCTACCTCTACATTTATTAACAAAGGACATATCTAATACATCTCTCTCCCCTAACCGGGCCATCGGAATGCCAACATTTTATGTGACCAAACCATCTAAGATGACTCTCTCTAATCTTATGACATGGACATTCGAAAAAATAAAATTTCTAATCATCTGAAAAGAATGAGAAAGATTACTACCAACAGCTAGAACGGGACGCTTCCTCATCTTGAGAGCTTGCTTGCGCAGAAGAAGTCTTTCTCGATTTGAAAGAGGAGATGATCTGAAGATAGATTCAACATCTGATTCTCGTGGACCATTACTTTCCAAAGAAGATAAGCCCAATAAACTGTGAGCACCTCCACATGAAACATTTATAGATAGCTCCTCAGAAGCACTAGACTCAGCGCAGGTAGTGGGCGTTGAAGTTTGAACTAGCTGTTCATTTTAAGCAGAAGAAAGAGAGGCCAAAAGTACACAAGAGAAGGAAGAAAATAAAAATAACTAAGGTCTGCATACTAGAAACAGATAAAGCAGAAAATTGAAAGCATAACAAGCCCCGATCATTAGTGTAAAAACCTCGGGATCAAGAGATTTTCCCTCACTGCCAGACATAGAAACCTTCCTCATGGATGCCAAACAATGCTCAGCCATCTCAGCGTCATGACTCTCATTTTGATGCTCCAAAACAACCATCTTCTGTTACAAATGTAGAAGTTGAGTATACATGAAAACTTCAAGACAGAAATGAACTTTCAAAGTAGTGAAAGCAGATGACAGTTTAAAGATTAAAAAATAACAGATGAAGTAGACTTGATTACCTGATTTGGAACAATAAAATTTTCCATTTTATCGCTTGGAATACTACATAATATTTAGGGTGGAAGGATTCTGTATTGACTTCACTCACTTCCTTAACAAGCATGATCATTGGCAAGGAATAAGATGACGAATATATATGCAAACAAAACCTACTTAAAAGCTTCACAAAACAGACCAACATGCTTTCAATAACTTCAAATTGTATGTTTATTTTTTCAGTGAAAAAAAAACAAGCTAAAGCAGTTTTCAATAACTTCAAAATCTATGCTGGAAAGGGATGTTAAAACCCATGTCAACTGGCCAGTGTAAAATAATCATTCAATGGACTAATCGGAACAAAAAATTAACAGAAAAATGTTCAACATCCATTCACATCTATGAACTTATCAAGTAAAAATAAATCGTAAAACTGAAGCATGGCACTCCTATCACAAAAATGAAATCTTATATTTTAGTGAAGCAATTCATACAATAAATTAAGGATCTACCACACAAACTACCAAAATCTCAATTGTCGCTTAAACAGAATTGTGTTAACTGTTAAGGATTCACAAAGATGTGATGATTTCTCATATATAAATGACAAACAAAAACAATTAAAAATTGCAAAAAAAATGTGACAGTCAGTTACTAGATGTTTCCCAAGTTTTCATAGTAGAACAAATTAATACTGCCAAAAAAGCCTCTTCAAAGCCGGTTCAACTTATGATCATATGACGTTCAAGATAAAACTATAAAATTATCTTGAAATAAAAAGTTTTGTTCAAGATTTGAGTGACTCGAGAATCTCTAGCATTCATATCAACTTGATTCAACTTCCGGAAAGCAAGAATAAAAAATAAATAGCAATAATTTTATGAAAGCTGGTACTGCACGGCAGTGTTGGAAATAAAAGAAGTTGAAACTAAAAAAAGAATAATTTAACCTATTAGGGAAGTAAAAAAAGAGTAGCAAATAGTGCAAGAATGTGCACTTTCAGAGAGATTGATCATTGTGCCCACATGGAAGAATCTCCGATTCTAATCATAGCAACTATTTGCTCAAGAAAGGATGACGCTTAGGCACGAACCCCACTTCTTAGGCTTAAGATTCCATTTTTCCTTAAGATACATAAGATGTTAATTAACCAGATTTCCCCTGATAATTATATCGAGGTTTATTTAGTTTTGGATTCCTACTTCATATGAATGCAAGCCCTCATAGTTAATTACCCCTCCTCTCTCATAAAAGAAAACTCTCGATTAAGGATGAATTAACTTTAGACTTGTAAGTGTTTTAATCTTTGTGGGGGATGCAGGTAGACCCGATCAACATCACATGATTTTGTCATCCCGGAAAAACCGTAGGTTTCAGTCAACCAACACTCATAATCATTGATCGTAGTGTCCAGAGAATCTGATTAGTAGCCATAAGTTACCTCCTCTCAGGGATCTCAAGTAAACTGAAGTGGTTAAATGTGAGTTTTAGTGTTATGGTGCTTTGGTTTGTATTGGGGCTTACGACTCTGCTTAGGAGTTGCCCATAGGTTTAGGTTTAGATCAGGGCTTACAGCTCCTCTTAGGAGTTTCCCATAGGTTCAGGTTTAGATAGGAGCTTACGGCTCCGCTTAGGAGTTGCCCGAAAGTTTAGGTTTAGATTGGAGCTTATTGTTTTGCTTGGGAGTTGCCTATACAGCAAGTCTTATGGCTTCCCTTGGAAGTAGTCTGTAGTTTGATTTAGGGAGGGCCATCTTTCTCAAATGTTTCCCAAATAACAATGATAACTTCTTCGATTGGAACATTTAGGTTAGCTTTAGAGTTTTGTGCTTCACTTTGGAAGTTTCTCTAATAGATTGATTAAAAGCGGGTCTCACTGCTTCACGTAGAAGTAGCCCAAAGATTTTAGTTTGGTTGACTTAGATAATAGTTATTTAGTTTGCATTTCGTAGACAGTAGATTACTTAGTTTGCACTTATGACTGCCCCGACACTTGTGCTTTTGTTTCAATGCTTTCTTTTATGCTTTAGCAGTTTGCCTTTTGTTTCAATACCCCTGTTTTAGTTTCATTACCTTTACTTTCAGCACTTTGTTTTAGCTACTTGTTTTACCTACAGTACTAATGTCTGCTTACAATACCAATTTTTTTGTTTACAACCCTAGTGTTTTATTTACAACTCTGCATTGACCTTTCATAATTGTTTGCAGGTGTTCGGGGCTTCCACAGGAGGGAGCTTGATAGAGTCAGAGCTTGTAGTTTGTGTTATAGTTTGTAGTTAGTGCTTTAGTTTGTTGTTTAAGAGTTTGTCTTTTATTTTTGTACAGTTATGTTTGAGAGTTTGTTTTTTGAGATGTACAGAGGTTGGTTCATAGTGCAAACATTCATTTTCTTTTCTTTTATTATTTTGAATTAATTGCATTAATTAACTAGTTAGTTAATTAAATAAAAAATTAATTTTAATTATTTTTAATTTAATTAATCAATTAGTTAATGACTTAAAGTATAAATTTTATTTTTAAATTAACCTCTCAACTCATTAATAAAGTTTTAAATTCAAATATATTTTTTTAAATTAATCAATTAATCAGTTTAATTAATTGAAGTTTTAATTTTATTCATTATTAAAATTAATTAAGTTTTAAATTTATTAACCAATAAGTTTAATGAATTTGAAAATTTAATTTTAATATTAAATTAATTAATTTAATTAGTTTATTAATTAAATTGACTAATCAATTATTTAATTAATTAGAAGATTTAAGTTTATTTTAAAACAAATTAATTATTTAATTTAATTATAATCTCAAATTTATTTTAATTTAATTAACTAGTTCTTAATTAGTTAACTTTTAATTAAATTAATATTCTTTGAATTGGTTAATTAATCATTCAAATTTTAATTAATTAATTTTAAATTAAATAATTAGTTAATAGATTAATTAATTCAATAAAACTCTGATGCAATCAAATCTTCATGCTCATGTTTTTTTTTTTTTAATGTTATTGTAATTTTTTAGTTTAATTTTTATTTACCCAACGATGGAAGGCAACGATGATCATGTGTGGTTTAGGTGCTCATTGGACATGTTTTTCCTTTGGTGTGCTTTGTGTTTGGGCTGATTTAGGTTTGGTGGGGGCGACTGAGCTGCTGTATGCTTGGCTTGGTTGTTCGCCTGTTTGGTTCCTGCTGCTGCTCCCTGGCTTTCCCGATTCCCCTGGCCTTGGTTGTTCGGTTCCTGCTGCTGCTCCCTGGCTTTCCCGGTTCCCCTGGCCTTGGCTGTTCGGTTCCTATTGTTGTCCCTTGGCTTTCCCAATTTTCTGGTTGTTCGGGTGGGCTTCTATCGTGCATTTAATGTTGCCTTTTTCTTCCCCTTTTGGGTTGGTTGTAGGGGGCAGCTGTGGCTGGCTATTGGCCTCCTTTTCTTTCATATTTAAAGAGGAGTTTTGGAAGTGAAAAAAGGTGTAAAAACTTGAGGGTTTTTTTTCTAGCTTGAGAGCTACTTCTTCACTTCTTGTTTCTTCTTCCAAGTCTTCTAACCCTTTCTTCTCTCCACAAGTTTCCAACCCATTGTAAAAGTGAGAGTGGTGTTGGTTGGTCAGTTTTTGTTGATATTTGCTGGAGGAATTGTGACGGACGTTGGACGAAAGTTGTTGTGGTGGACCACTGGTTTGCATGTCCTTGAGCATTCTATTTACCTAATTTTATCATTACATGTGAGGTGACTATTAGATGGTTGTTCTGAGAGTATTTTCTTTTAGTTTTTTTTTTTCTTCGAAAAAAAAACAATTTCAGTTAGTTTAATGTTATTTGGGGATTTGCTTACTAAAGTTTTGGATTGAGTCGTGTTCTACTTTCTTTTGTGTTCTCCATTAAGCTTAAAACTTTCTAGTTCCCATCAAACTTTCAAAGATTTTAAGAAAGTTCGACAACCTCCCGGCGTCCCCTTCTAGTAAGGGGAGGTTAGGAGGGGAGGGCACATGCCCTTTAAAACCTGCCCAGCCGGTTAGAATTTGATAGTCGAGGGTTTCAGGACAACAATGAGACCCAGAATCGATCTTCAAAGTTTCCAATTGGCAGTTGTTTATTTTTCTAAAAATTTTGGCAGCCTACGGCGTCCCCCACCACGAGGGGAGGTCGGGAGGGCACTTGCCCTTTCAAAACCACCCAACCGAATAGGATTCAATGGCCGAGGGCTTAGGGACATTGTTTAATCTCGAAATCAATCTTCAATCCCTCCAATTTGATGATTGTGCTACATGTTTTTTTTTTAAATCCAAATATGTTTATATTTATACACATATATTATTATTTCCCTCCATTCATACTCCTACTCACTATTCAAAATAGTAGAGTAGGACCGGTCTGGCACAGAGATTCAGTGGTTTCGTTCACGAGCTACTTCTTGTGAGGTAGGAGGATCGAAGGGGAGGCTTAGTGCTATGTTCAGGAGGCGCAGATCGAAGGCACAGGAGATCGGCGGGGTCGTTCAGTCGTAGGTGTGGATTCCCAGCTTGCAGTTCACGCGGGTTCGGACGCAGGCAGAGTTGGGAGTCGCCTGGGTCAGACATGGGCCTGGAAGGTTGGGTGGCTGGCTTTTCTTGCGTACGAGACGGACGAAAGAGGTGTAAGGGTTGTGTGGAAATTGGGCTTGATCGATGCGAGAGACATGCAAGATTTGTCTGTTCGTGCGAAATCAGACGGGAGGTGCATAATCGTGAGAGAAAGAACAAAATAACCAGAGCTGAAAATTTCCAAGAACGAGCGCAAGTCCTTTTTTTCTTCGTGACTTTATAAGAACAGTTGCCTTTGGAACGTGCATACAACGTGGCTAGATGCTGTCTAGTTTTGCCTACGTGGGGGAGTTACGTGAGGGATGGTTAGATGTCAAAAACAACATACATTCATCATCATCATCATCATTAGTAGCAGCAACCGCCGCCGCCTTATCCTAACTATAGCAACCAAGGTAATCCTATAAAGAATCATTGTACCAATCAAAATATTTTTTTCTTTTTGAAATGTTTGGCTGCTAAAGTATTCATCGGGGTATATAGCATAATCATGCTAAAGTTTGGCATGATTCCTTACCTCAACATTTTCTCCGCTAAAGTCCGATTGAAAAGATGTATAAGACTCTATTTCAGGCTCAGAACCATTATCATTATCTATTTCCAATGGTCCAATATTGTCACTTATGTCATTGGGGGATTTTGACCCCTCAAACTCAGACGAGAGAAGCATGTTCATCTTCAAGTCATTATTGGCCTGGAAAACTAGATGAAGTCAGCTAAAAATATTTAAAAATGTTACCAACATAAAAACTAGAAGAATGAGTACAGCTAAAGGTTACTCACAATCTTATAATCTAACTGGTCTGCAGTTTTTGAAAGGTGCAAAGCATGAAGTTTCAGAGACTGCATTCAAAGAAACAAGAGAAAAATAAAAAGACACATAAGATACTAAGCATAAAACTTTAACTAATAAAACAAGAAAAGAAATATGCACCTCATAGCGTTGAGCTTCAAGAGAACGCTTTAGTGCTTCCTTCTTGTTTAGGAGTGTCTGAGGCCTCAAGTTTGCAGGCCTCCGGTAATTCTTCCCACGGTAGATAACAACTGCATAACCTTTACTCACTCTCTCAACCGCCACAAGTATGCCACCACTTTCAGCCTCTAAGGTTCGAGCAGTACTTTCAACATTTTCAAAATACCGGTCGTTAAAGATTATCTTTACAAGTTCCCGATATTTCCAATGAAGATGCATATTTTCAATAGTTCCATCAAAAACACCTCTTCTACCTAAGCAAGAGAGAGGAATTGGATCATTTTCAATATTCCAATTATTCCTTAAAAACAATTCTCCTACCAGATCAGCGAAGAACACATCATAACCTTTCAAAAAAGTGAAATACAAGAGAACAACCTAAAGGGTGCTTCCTATTTATATAATAATTAAATTTATTACGGAAAAAAAAAACCCTAAAGGGTGCTTCCTGAATCCTGAACAATCAAAGAACAATCCTCAAGGTAATTTTTGCAGCTTTACATGATGTAGAATTGATACTCTATAAAACCCAGATCACGGCTATTTCCTTCAACTATAATCGATTGATGTACGATGTTTAAAATCAGACTTCCGGTGAAAATAGGATGATGCAACAACAACAACAACAACAACAACATCAAGCCTTTATCCCACTACATGGGGTCGGCTACATGAATCCTTTTTCTCCATTGTGTCCTATTAAAAGTCAAATTCTCGTTTAAATCTAATAAAGAAAGGTCATTCCTAATATTTTCTAACCAAGTCTTTTTAGGTCTACCCCTACCTTTCTTAACATAAGTCAAATCTAATACCTCTACTCTCCTAACCGGGTCATCGCAAGGCCGCCGTTTTATGTGACCAAACCATCTAAGGCGACTTTTTCTAATCTTATCTTCTACTGAAAATAGGATGATGCAATTAATATAAATCACCAAAAAAAATTCTTAGATCAAAGACTACTAATCACACAAATTCACTAAAGAATAAGGATGAAAATATATAAAATTGAAACCAAAATAGCAGCAATTTATTAATTCAAAGAAATCGTCAAGAAATTTGAACCACAAAAATTCGGAGATCAAATGAATTTTTATACAATAATTGAAATCCCAGTTGTAGTAAATTTGACCCATGCATGGAGGCAATACCAATAAGTAAATATTTAAGAAGAAAATAGATCAAGAAAAGAAATTATAATAGTGAAGAAGATTCAAGCCTTGCTCTGGCATAAGGAGATAACTAAAATAGAGCATAATGACATCCCTAAATGGAGATTTCTCCACTGCGATCCAAATGAGGAATAAACAATGGAGGCCTGCACCTTTTGAAAGTCTCAAGCCAAGAAAATAAAGCTCTCAATAAGGATGAAATCAAAACTCAAACCCTACGTATTATCCACATAATTCCAATCAAACTATACGGGATTATGTATTTAAAACTAATCACTGGATAAAACATTCTCCAAATTTTAGGAATTTTTCTTTTTTTTTTTCACCAAATCATAAGCCTTACCAAGTAATAGAAATGGTTTCATTCTAAGGCCTACCCTCCGTAACATGTGTCTTTCCTCTTCTGAGATGCCCTCCTTATCAAATTCAACAGTTGTAGGCTCAACCAATCTCTCAAGTTCTGCAATATGCTTTTTAGTCATCTCTATGTTTTGATTGACCTGCCATCAAATGAAATTATACGAAAGTTATGAACTTCCATAATAATATGAAATTACTTAATCTAGGTTATAAATAAAAACATAGGTCATTAAAAAATACCTGGTTTAACTTGGCCTCCACCTTTCTAATAGATGAGCTTGCAGATTTGAGATTTCTTACAGTCATTAGGGATCTTTTTCCTTCAGCTTTTTCTTTAACTTCAATCTCTGAAGAGGAGTTGGATAACCTTCCACTAGAAGAGAGATTCATCACAAAGGGTGTTACTTCATCATTGTTTGGCTTCCCATCACAAGAATTCCAATTTCTCCTTTCTTCTATCGCAATGGATACAGCATGTGGCAGAAAATCCTTTCCTCTGTATAAGATAATAAAATCCTTGTCCCTCGAAAGAAGTGTTCCACCAGTTAATTTCTGCAGAAAAAAACTAAAGTGTGTTGTTCAATTTTAAGATATAGTTTCTCCAACAAACTCATGGACAATATTTATCAAATTAAATAAAGATTTTGATCTTGATGCTGCCCATCGTTAGTTCATGCAGTTTGAGCACTTATTCAACGTAGGTTTATGTGTAACATTGTACTAGCACACTCAAAGAGCACAATTCAAAGATATAAAGAACATTATACTTTTGAAGTGCTTCTAACATCTCAAAAATAGCTTTAAATTTTAAGGCAATATTTTAAGTTCCTAAATTCTCAACATCAAATCTTGTGAGGACCTAAGAAAATCTAACTAGGCAGATTAGATTATAGGTAGTACACCACTCAAAGATTCATCCATCAAAGACTAATTTCTGGTTTCAAGTTTCTCAGAAGCTCAAGCCCCTATGATTAATCTTCTCTCTCATTTGCAAAAGAAAACCCTCAATTAAGGATGTCACTAGTCTCTCTTAATCTTTGCTTTATTGATGACTTCTTATATATTGTGCAAAAAAAAAACACACACACACAATATCTCAATATTTATCATTCAAGGTTATATAGATCTTAGGCTAAACATTCATACTAATTGGGGTAGATCTTTAAGTTGAATTGAAGACTTTATCATAAAACATGAGTTCCCTCTTTTAAGATGTTCCCAGGTGGAAAACATATTAAATTAGCTAATTATGTTGAGGAGCTTGGGTGACATAAGGCTTTCCACCCTATCAAATGGACTAAGTAGCTCGGACGCTCAGAGATTCAAAGGCTCAAAGGAATGGTCATTAGGAGGAGGGCCAAATAGCATTTAGTTCAAGCATACATATTAAGAATAACCACTTAATTCAAAGGAAACTTCTTGGTCCATAGTGGTTCAAAGGTTAAGAGTTGTGAACCTTGGTATGGTCTTAACTTTAAAACCCTTTGCAAGTTTTAAGAAGAGTGAGGTGACTTAAAGCATGAAACAGATGTAGAGGTGATATAAAGTTGAGTTTGATCGAATTTTAGCTCAACATGAAATAGAAAATTTTGATTCCAACTTGACTCAAACTCAATTGGAAATGATTTGATTCCAAACAATCTCAAAATATATATCAAGATCATTCAAAATTGAATATTTAATTAATAATAGATATAAATATATGTTATATATTGCATATTATACATGTATTATGTTATACACATTTTATTCTATGTAAATACTCATTTCAAGTAGATTTGATCTTTATTCAAGCAAGATAGGTCAAATTTTGGAAGACTCAAAATCAATTTCTAGGTTAGCATAAAACTAAAAATCAAATTGAGTCAAATTATAGAACTTTTTAACATCCTTAAATAGTCATTGTCACTTTTCCTAGATGTTATACTTTCTTGTACTTTCATAATATTTTTTTTCTAAGATAATAACGGCCTTTCGAATCACCAAAAAAGGGATTTTGCTTTTAGAAGCTACATATTAGAAACCAACACTATGTTCTCTATTAGCCATTTTATGTTGCAAATGCCATTGGGCACTTTGATGAGATTGTTAAGGTGTTGATTTCTTTTGTAAACATTTGAATATAAATTGGGTCAAAATGGTCTAATATTTAATCTCAACCATTTAGGAGATTATGGGAGCCTTGGCATGTTTCAAAAGCAAGTAATGAACTAGCACCTACTTGGAGAACTCAATGGTGCAAGTAAGAAGAGGACCCAGCAATTGTTGTTGCCTCTAATTAGTGATGCGGGCAAAAGATATAGGGAGCCTATACCCTTCGCCCAAAAAAGACACGGCGGACTTCTAAAGACGAATCTTGGAATTCCAAAAGCCGGTTTGGAATTCCAAGAGACAAACATAAAAGCAAACATAAAAAGCATAAAACTATATTAATTAAAAGATAATAAATGAACTAAAATGTTAGCTCATAATGAGCTAACCCTTAGTTCAATAAATGAACTAAAGTTCAGCTCATAAATGAACTAAAAGTTTAGCTCAAATATGAAAAACTACTAGACTCAAGGGAAGCCAAAATATGATTTATTTTGGACTAGGGTTGACCCCCCCTTTGTCTACATCAATTAGGAATAGCTCTAATGGAATTTGGCTTCAATGGAGAAAATTTTCAATTATTTTCAAAGAATGTCTTCATTCATTCACTGGAGTAGATTCCGACAACTATGATTTGGCTTACGCCTTTAGGAATATTTCTTCAGTGACATGGAGTCAACTTTATTGGGGTAAACTTTTAGAGGATTGGCTTTAATATTTCAATTAGTCATGAATAGCCCCACTATTTTTACGTTCATCAAGTTTTTGGTTGCCTTCAGGTTATTATCATGCAGAATGTAAATTGAATAGGATAACTATTTGGATTTGGATTATACAATGCTACCACATAGGGTTACCAAACAGGAAGCAGTGTTAGCTTCTAAAGTACCTAATTACTCAAATATAAGCACATACTAAATAAATAGGTCGCTTGAATTTAAAACATTATTATGATTTAAGAAGGAAAGAGAACATGGAACCCGAAGGGATACAAATACATAATGGTAAGAAATATATAAGATATATAAAGGAAGCCAAAAAAGTTGAACTTGGCCAATGATGATGACATGAGAGGAGCTACCTATATTGAAGCCATTCTTCAAGTGCTTAGGACCATAAAAATCAGTTTTAAAATCCTTTGTAAAACATATCACAAAGTAATGAGCTAGAAAATAATAAAGAAAAAAATTAATCAAGAAATTTAAGATCTCAAATTAAGTAAAGCCCCTTCGTAAATTGCCAAATGACTGAACCAAGAGATAATGCTCATATGCTTAAGTAACAATAACAGCATCATCAAGCCTTTATCTCACTACATGGAGTTGGCTACATTAATCTTTTTTCTCCATTATGTCATGTTAAGAGCCAAATTCTCATTTAAATCTAATAAAAAGATCATTTATAATAATTTCTAACCGAGTCTATCAAAACAAAGCAATGGACAATTAAGTTTTTTTTCCTATCATTTGTTGGTCATTAAGAATATAATTTTAGCTTCAATTATCAAGTACAATGAATAATCAGCATAGAGGACCCATAAATACATAGGCAATGATAAGATAGGGATATCGTTAATTCTTACGAAAGCTGCCAACATACCTTCAATTCTTCTGCCATAATCCCACTGTTAGTATTCTGTGCACCCCGTTTTATAGCAATTTTTGCAACCTCAATTTTTTCCCATAGCTTAATAATGGAAACTGCCAAACCTTGAAGGTTTCTATTTCTCCCTGAGACAAAAAGGATGATGAAGGGCTTTTTAGGATGCCCACACAGCAAGAAGGTATAAAATGATCATCACAAGACAAGGCATTGTCACCTAGTGCAAAGTGACATGGTACGTGTCGGCTAAGCCTCCTTAGAATTGTTGATTCCCTGTCTTTCAGTTGGGGCCTTAACCCAAAGGGAAGAAGACGAAATGGCTTACGAAATCCTGGAACAATAGCTGGTAACAAATCACCATCGACTGGTAAAGGATCATAGCCCCACCAATCAGTAAATCTTGGACCCAATCCATCTAATAACTTGTCAGCTTCAGCTTCAAGCTGAGTTTCCCCAGGCAATTGCAAGCGCAACTTATTAGGAGAACCAACTCCAGAAATAAATGGTGAGCGAACTCTGCTACCACTTGACTCAATACAAGTATTTGCTGCAATTGTAGATAAAGAGCTTGAACCATGCTCTTTATCAGTTACACCATTCAAGTCGGGTTTAGAACAATCTTCATCCAGCTTTTCACTATTGTCTTCTCCAGAATGGAAGTAAGGATACTTATAATTTGTCCCTCTATACAAGACAACGATATTTCCAGACCTCCAAACAACTAGGCCACCAGTTTTTCTCTGCAAGGATAGCATACACAGCTGCTTAGAAGGGATTACACTTAATGCCAAAAATATCAATAAAATTCATCATTCAAGACGAACCAAGAACAGCGAAATGCAATAATCACCTTAAACCAAGGACCACTGCCAAAATAGATCTAAAAGGCAATTTTATGCTGGGAATTAACAAATGCGCATAAAAAGACCCAGTTTGCAGACCTAATAAGGAGAGAAGCCAATGGAACTTATGGAAGTAAATTACATCTTTCCATCACTGAAAAAACCTCTAAACTGCCTCAAAATAAGGGATTATAACCCCATTTATTCAGATATATACAAGCTAAGTTCCACGAAGTAGCAAACTTCTTAATACAATTCAATTTAAAACAGCTCGCCTTGATTAGTTGGTTGGTAGGTACCAACCAAGAGGTTTTAGGTTCTATTCTTGCATCTATGATGTGCATGATGTGTGTGTGAGATTGCCTTAGTTGGCCTAAATGTCCTCAAAAAAAAATTTAAACCAGCAAAGGAGCACCTGACAAATAAGGAACCAAAGATTCAGAATACCTCTAAAATCTCATGAGTTCTCTTCATGTTCATGCCGCAGACATCTTCGCACCTGATCTTGACCACCTCTAATCGCCGCCACCTCTCGTGGATTCCATTCACAATTCCCTCGGTTATCCCAGCCTTCCCCACCTTGAGCCGCTTTGTCAACGCAATCCCCAAGGTCCGTAGTCTCTTCAGTTCCTTTCGAGGTAGCGTTAGTTCCGCCACTGTCGGCATCTTAACTTTCTCACCAGCCGCGGTCGAGCTCTCCTGCTCCCTCTTCCAGAGCTCACGAAACCTGGTGATGGTGTTGCCGGAGCCAGGCTCCGGCACAGGATGCTCTGGCGTGCTCCAGCTAGAATCAATGGTGTGGCCAACGCGGTGCTTGGGGATTTCGTAAGGGGTGGGGATAAATATTTCACCAGCAGAACCGGGACCTGTCGGTGGGGGGCCGCCGACGGCCGCCGCCGCCGGATCGTCGGGGAGGTATCCAAGGCTGCGGAGCTTCTCGGATATGCGTTGGATGGCAGATTTTCCAACAGCTTCTTGGTAGGAGGAGCGGCAATGGGGTATGTAGAGTTTAGGGTTTTTAAGGCGGAGTGATGAGGAGGACGGAAAGGAGGGCAACGGAAACGGGGTCGATGCGGTTTTGGAGAGAAAGTGAGGAGAAGAAGGAGAGTGAGCAATGGACAGAAGCATTGAGAAAGCGCAGAAAGGAGAACTGGAAAAGCTAAGATTTTTCCTTTCGCAGCGGGAGGGAAGACGAAGGTGATCTATTTTGCAAAAGCATTTGGGTAGAGAAAAATAAATAAATTAATTGATTAGAATTTTTTAAAAAAAAACTAAAAAAAAAAATCATTTCTATTTCAATGGGAGGTTGAAAGAAAAAGTATATATATAATTAGCTGAAATTTTGGGTATTATTAAAAAATTAATGGTAATTTTAAACTTTGGTTATAAATGCAATAACTCATTCAATTTTATAAATAAGGATAAATAATGTTTGCATATATATAGTAACTTTTTAAAATTAATAATTATTCCTGAATTTTTTGAAATCATAAAATTATAATTATAGCTTGTTGTAATTTTTAATTATTATATTTTTAAAATATTAAATTGCAATCAAATTAGTGCCACTAAGTTTTTTTAATAAAATAAAGTTTTTTTAACGAAAATTTAGTTTTTTTATAACAATTGAGTGAGATAATATAACATCATAAGTCATAACATTGAATAAAATCTAGTAATCACATAAATAAAAAAAATATAGAGATATCTAAAATTTTACATAAAAATCCAAAAAGAGAAAATATCCTGATTTAGATCCATTTCAAATGATTTCATAACTATATGTCATTAACTATAAATTACATAATTTCTCATAATTGAGAAAGATTTTAATATAATATAGTGGATATGAATTATAACTAATGGATTCCATATAAGAAGTTGAAAGTATTAAGGCATTTTAGTTGTTTTTATGAGATCATTTGTGATATGTTAAATCGTTTCTCTTTGAGGAGAGGATACTACATACTAAAAAGTCTAATATGAATATAATGTTAATGTTGATAGTTAGAGTTTTGTATCGATGGCATGTATCGACCTTATTGGTGGTGGCGAGTGTCGACGTCATTGGCAGCGATACGCGATGAAGTCAGTAGACATCGACGTCTGGTGCAGTTGCTCCGGCTACCTTGCGCAACTGGAACCAGATTTTTGCTCCGGACGCCTCCTATGTTCCTAAAGTCTTCAGCTTTTCCACCACCCTTCAGAGCCTGATATTATTCCCTTCTCTAATGAGAAACTTACTGAGGGCGGCGAAGATTGGAATCTGTGTCTGGTAGGTTACTCTATCGGGAGAAGACCTTACTATGAAGCCCTGCTAGGAGCGATTAACAAAACATGGTCGCTTAAAGGTGCACTCCAGCTACTCTCGCTTAGTGATGGTTTCTTTCTTCTGCGCTTTTCCTGCGTTGAAGACTTTGACATGGCATGGTCTAAAGGAGTTTGGTTTCTACTTGGGAAGCCTTTTGTTCTTCAAAAATGGCATCCAAAGTTCAAACCTAAGCGTGAAAATTTTTCATCGGTTCCAATCTGGGTTAAAATACATGATTTGGCGCTGGCTTGTTGGAACTCGGAAGGGATCTCAAGAATCGCTAGTAAAATCGGTGTTCCGTTGGCTGCTGATCATCTCACGGAGCAAAAGACCCGGTTGACTTTTGCTCGAGTATGTGTGCTTGTGGATTGCAACGCAACATACCCTGACGTGATAAAAGTTTCTCTGGATGGCGATGTGGTTGATCTAAAGGTGCAATATGAATGGAGGCCGGTACCTTGTGAACACTGTAAGTCTTTAGTTCATTATTCTGCTTCTTGTCCAACGAATCCTTCCACTTTAGAGACGGATTCTAGACCTAATTTTCCGAAATACCGAGGAAGGAGTAGCAGTAAAAAACCCGTTAATCGCATCCCTTCAAGACCTCCTTCATCCTCGAGACCCCCACGATCGGACTCTGTTTTGAAGGAAAAAGTCTCTAATTCTACAGCAGATAATATAATCTGTGGAACTATCCCTCTTCACACCAATAGCATCGGTCAGCCTCTTCATTACCAAGCACACTCTCCCCAATCTACGATCAATAAAGATAAAGCCCAGATTTCTTTTAAATCCGTTGAGAACCAACCTTTTGCAAAGTCACCACAATCAGAACCTCATAAGGATGATCCTATGCTTGAAGTCTTAGTAGCTAATATTCCAAATTTGAATATTCCTACTGAAGAAGTTTCTGAATCTTCATCATCTCAGTTAAACAATTCATCCAAACCGATTTCGAGCATCACGTCACCCAACAAATTTGAGATCCTTAACTCTCAATATGAACTGGAGCCGCAAGATTGTTTGGCGGAATGTTCATATGAGGTAGGAACTTCGCAGAAACAGATGGGTAAAAGCAAAAAGCAAACTACTTCTGACAATTCCAAAAAATCTGCAAAGGGAAAGCAGAGTAAAAAATCCCAATCTCAAACCAATAATTAAATGTCTCTTCCTTCCATAGGTGTGTGGAATGTTAGAGGTTTTAACCGGCTTGAAAAAGTCCTTAGCTGTAAAAGGCTTATTAATTCTCACAAGCTTGATCTATTTTGTCTGCTGGAGACTCGCATTCATGCCCCTTCTCTTCAGGACCCCTTTTTTTATTCTTCCCACCAACTGTTTTCGAATGAAGCCAGTGTTCATAACTTTAATCTATCTGCCTCTGGGAGGATTTGGATCAAATGGGATGCCAATAAGTTAAATTTTACTCCTACTCTCATTACCCCGCAAATGATAAATGGGACGGTTACTGTTGGTAATCTCATTCCTTTTCAGATTTCAATAGTTTATGCTTGCAATAATGCTTCTGACAGGAAAGATCTTTGGTCTTCTTTAAATATGGTAGCTCCTTCTCCTGCTATGTCATGGGCTATTTTGGGGGATTTTAATTGTTGTAGGTATGCTAATGAAAAATCAGGCGGCTCCCCTATTCATCATTCCAATCTGGTTGATATTAATAGCATGATCTTTGCTAATAGTTTGGTTGACTTGCACTCAGTAGGTAACTTCTACACTTGGTATAATCAACAAGTTGCTAACCCCATCTTCATTAAACTAGATCGTGTCCTTGTTAATGAGGAGTGGGTAGAGAATTTTCCTAATGCTTACTGCTCTTTTCTGAACCCGTCCTGCTCGGATCACTCCCCCATTATCTTGCAAGCTGGAAGGTCCACTAAGTCTCATCACCGGTTTCTCTTTAAGAATTACTGGACTAATCTTGATAGATATTGGGTTTATATTTTAAATGCTTTCTCTATGACTTTAATAGGTAACCCTTTATCCCATCTCTGTAACGTCCTCAAAAATCTAAAAGGTGATATTAAAAAACATGACTGGGCAAATGTTAACTCTCTTAATCTTCAGTTAGATCATCTTCATGCTAAGCAACAAAACATTTTAGATCTTATTATGGATAATCCATTGGATGGTGCTCTTAGCTTTTCCCTCAAAGACATTAACTTAAAAATCTCTGATGTCTCTACTAATCATGCTAGCTGGATTATTCAAAGAGCAAAGCTCAAATGGCTACAACATGGTGAAGATGACCTCAAATTTCTTTACGGGAAAATCAGGAGCCGTATGGGCAGCTCTAAATCTTTGGTGAATTTATTTACCTCTAATCCGAATATTACCAAAGAGGAAGTGATTAAATCCATAACAAACCACTTTCAGGATTTGTTTAATCCTCCTCCTCCTCCTGGAAGAGTTTTGGATTCCTTCCCCATTGGAGACC